GGCCCTGTCCCTCCCTAAAGGATCAGGTTTCCTTTTAGCAACACACTTGGTTCAGCGGGTTGGGCCGTTTTGGGGACAATTGATTTGTGGGCCTACTGTTTGGGTCAAGAGTTGGGTTTGTTTCCTACGTTAAAAGTGTGTGTGGTGTTGAAACAGTCACTGTTCCACATTGATGCAATCTGAGGGGGTTCCTTTGAGGTGAAAACTTCTTTTTGGGGGGTCGTTTTCAAGGTTTGCTAGAGCGGCGAAAGGGTTGGACCATGTGTTTGAGCTCTTTGGGTTATGAGGATGGTTTTTGTGTTTATCTGTCGGTCCTTGGGTTGTAGAGTAGCATCTGCCCCTCTTTACCGCGTGAGTCCACTCCCTGATAGTAGGTGACCGTTGCGTGGCCTTGGGAATCTGCGCTATCAGAGAAAACTGGGTTGCTACTGCTTGGTCCTGTGGTTGCCCCACTGAGTTAACATTGCAACTGACTCCATTGACATCCGATTGGGAAGAAGCGTTGGTGAGATTCGTTGGCGCCGGAGCCAGAACAGTGGGCAAGCCTCTTTTAAGTGTCCATACTTTCCGTATGTAAAACAGATTTTTTTGGAGATCTTCATATTCAACGGTGTACAAATTAATGATCAATTTTGGTCTTACCGATCAGAGGTTTTGTAAGGTCCAATTCAATTGCTAATCTGGCGTATTGGCCCCTTTCCACAGTGATAGTATTCCTGTCAGCTTTGAGGAATTTGCGCAGAGGCTTCGCCAAACTCCTCAGAAGGTCTTCGTGGAAATACTCGATTGGCAATCCAGGGATCCGGATCCAAGTGGCTACCGCATTGATGTTTTCGTTTTTGGTGCTGAAATCCTTGGACCATGGTAGAACTTGGATGTAATGGTCATCGAGGGACCATGGCCCGTTGAGCAAGACAGAATAGTAGTCTTCTTCTGTGATGACCCTGAAAAAATGGTAGCCATTAATGGAATCAATAGGATTGAGCTCACCCTTTATTTTCCAGAGACCCTTGAGTCTCTTATGGAGTCGGTCCCTTCTAAAATCTTTACCAAGTGGCCGCACCACTATCATATATGTCATAGTGATGACCATCTGTTTCCGAACCTTAGGGAAGAATTCAGTTGAGGAGACTCCGTCTTCCTCTCCATAGGTTACGTCTCCTTCCTCTACGGTGACTCTGGTCATGTGGAATCCATTTGTGAATTGCGTATTTTGCCCTTGGAGAAGACGGTCTTTGAAAGAAGGAACACTCTCAATTGAAGAAGTCGTGATTGGTGGTGTCTCTGTTTGCAATGGTGGTTGAGTGTCAATTGATTTTGGTCTTTGTTTCTAACCTTTTTGGTTGCAGGGTTTTCGTTAGCATGAATCTTCGGAGGTGGATCAATCATCTCCTCGTCCATGGTGGACCGGCAGTTGGAAAACAAAAAAGGGGTAATATTCAAAGAAGAAGTTTAGAGATATATGGAATGACTAGTTGTATACTCACCAGTACGTTTGATCAGTCACATTTTAGTTATGTCTCAATGTCTCATAGCCACATTTTCAACCCAACGTTTGAAGTCAGTAGCTGGAAATTTTGGAATAATAACTCAGAAACGAAATCCTATTTTTAGGCTAGATCAGGGAAGTGTAGAAGGGCTCTGGACATATGGGTCTCAAATACTAAATTACTAATAAGGAACAATAAACATCACATACTGAAACTCCAGCTCTTTGTCATGCCCCTGGACTGATTCGTACACACTAGATAGTAGGGGGACTATTTTTGGCAAGTATGGTCAAAGAAGTCAAATTATGTAGGATCCTAATGTAACGGGGTTATTCATGAGTTAACTGATAATCCGACTTGTTTCTCCTTCACCCGTTTCTCCCCAATCTGAAAACCCTAATCCCCATTTTCTTCAATTCTCTCCTTAATCCTTCCGAATCCGATCTATGAATTCTCCTTTTCTCTAATTCTAACCCCGGGTTGTGACACTCTTTCGTTCCTTCTAACTCCGCCAATCTCTCAACCCTAGCCACCGCCATCTGCCTCTCTTCCCTTCTGCACTGACAAAATTCACAGTACGTAGGAAATGGATAAACTGGAAATGAAGCCAAACAATCATGAAGAAGACAGGCTCAACGCTTTGCCGGGTTCAATTCTTGTTCATATTCTTTCATTAATGCCCACAAAACATGCGGCTAGGACTTCCATCCTGTCCACCAAGTGGAAGCACCTTTTTCTTAATGTTCCAAAAATCGACATTGATGATTGGTTTCTTCAGTCCGAAAAGATTCAGAAGAATATAATCAATTTTGTGGATAGGAAGCTGTTGAGTGGAGGAGCATCGTCCATAGACGAGTTCCGATTGATGCATAACTGGAAGGAAGTTCATGTAATGGAGCCATGAATTACTGCTCTATTAGCTGGTAATGTCAAAATTCTCGATATTTCTGGACGAGGGCTTAACATTTGTACCCGTTTGCCCACCAGAACCTTTCTCTCCAAAACTTTACAAGTCTTAGATCTAGATGGATCTTTTCGTGTCAAGATTCCTGAATTTGTGTGCCTTCCACGGCTCAAGGTACTTCGCTTGTCATTTCTTGAGGTCGTGTTTGATTGTAGCTGTTGTGAGTTTGGTGAAGGTTATCCTCTGCTTGAAGATTTGAAATTATATAGAATTTTAATTATTCAAAATAGTGATTCCGTTGACGACGACGATGTTTACTGGCAATATCTTTACCTAATCTGAAAAGCTTGATGGTAGCCATGGACGGACCACCATACCAGGTAGATATAGATGCTCCACACCTTCAAGCTACCCACTTCTTTTATGGATCGGATAATAAAAGTTTCATTCCGGAAATAAGATTTTTGAACTGTGCACTCCACATCACCCCTACTATTTAATTCTTTATTTAGAAAAGATGATAAAATAGGAAATAAAAGAAAAAAAAAGTCAAAACGCGCGTGACTCTTGCTCCCTTTTCCCTGAACCCTATCAAGCAAGAAGTCTCATCAATTTGAATTGTCTTATTCCATCTTCCGGATTTTGAATGCCGATCGAATTCATCCCGTTTTCTTGTCTGTCATTTTATCTCTCTTTTTTTCGAATTCTTACTTAGATTGGACATGAATAAAATCTGGCATCACACAAGGCAAGAATACAATCTGCATCTTAATAAAACAATTAAAAAAGTTTTCCATTGATGATTCTACCATCTTTTCTTATTTTACATAACCCATACTGCATCAATATTTTTTCATTCAAATCAATCCGCCATTGGCAAAATACAGCATACAGCACAATCTAACAACCCCAAGAAAAAGGCTTGAAAAAAACATATTTTGTGGAAAAATAAAGAAACAAGGGAACAAAAGTTCTAATGAACTAAAATTCAAAGGAATTAAAGACACCACAGCCTCATTAGCAAAATCGCTCATACAATTGAAAATTTCTTGGGAAGAAAAGAAGAGAGATAGAATAAGAGTCTAAAAAACGGGATTAATGAATCCGGTCAGTGTTCGAATTTGAAAGATGGGAGGAAATGATTGAAAGCACCAAAAATTGATCACTTCTTGTTTGATAGGGTTCAGCTGGTGTTCAGGGGAAGGGAAGTGAAGACACATGTTTCGACTTTTTCCTTTTATTTCCTATCTTTTTATTTTTTCCAAATAAAAAAATTAATAAGTTGGATTTAGGTGGAGTGCACAACCTGGTGTGCCACATTAGGTGAGTTAGAATAGTGAGTTATTTGATTGAGTCATCTATCATTACTCAAAAAGTATTGCCTTCACTACTCTCACCATCGAAATCACTACTTCTAAACTCGTGTAATATTTGCTGAAAACCAACTAATCCGGTTAACCTTTTGGCAAAATGTCCAGTATAGATTTTTCCTTTATGATACAAGTTATACTTGGAATGAAAACCCGAACTACACAATTATTTTTGGGGACAAAGAAAGTATGTGTCATAACTCATAACTACATTTTCAGCCCAACCTTTGAAGTCAATCGCTGGAATTATGTAGGAAGAGTTAGTGAGTTACACTTCTACAACGTTATTCTGTCGATGAACTGAAACTCTAGGAAATTAGTCGGGCTGTATTCTTATGCTAAACTATAGACAGAGTAAGAGCTACCTCATTTCTCATTTTTTAAGTAATAAAGATCTACTTTAGTTTTTGAAAGAAAATGAATAACACTTTTTTCTTTCTTTCTTTTTTTGTGTTTTTGAACATTGGGAATTGACGAATACATTTTGGAAGATTCTAGTTTTGGGCTGGATCAGAAGCATAGATGAACAATTGTCAGATACGGAACCTAGGGTTCCGAATTGCAAAAGGAAAAGAGAATTGGGGGGAGAAACAGAAAGATAGTCTTCATTCATTTTCATCGATAAAACGTCACAATCTGGTAAGGCTGATTTTTAAGCCGACTGAAACTACAACTATTACATCATTGCTACTCTAGCCCCTATTCATTTAGATAATTTTATTATAGCCCTTCAGTTCATGACAACAATATTGATGGGCTCTATCTAGAGTCTAGACATATGGTTTCTGTCGCGCCCATAAGCTAGTTTGTAGGAAATAGAAAATTAAGGGACTTAATTGTAATATTCAGAATTGGGACAGACTATATATAATCGACCCGGACCCAAAAAACGGATCTTGATTCGGATATCTCATTTTCCAGATTATTTTGGAACTTGTCTTCTTCATCGTTTCTCTGTTTCCCCCTTTTTTCATGAACCCTAATTCTGAATTTCTACTCCTAACCTTCTAAAATCATGTCTAAACTTCTCTTTTTCTGTCAGTCTAATCCCGGGTCGTGACAGTCTCAATGAGGAACAATATACAACAGATACTTCTAGTATTTCGATACGCTCTTTCATTCCTTCTACCTCCCCCACTCTCAGCCCAAGCCACCACTGTCCGCCGCCGCCGCCTCTGTCTCTCCCCGCAGCCGCTAATTGAGGTTCTGCACTGACAAAACCACAGTAGGTAGGCAATGGAAAAACTAGAAATGAATCCACACAAACATGAAGAAGAAGACAGGCTTAGCGCTTTGCCGGATTCAATCCTTGTTCACATTCTCTCCTTAATGCCCACAAAAGATGCCGCCAGGACATCCATCCTGTCCACCAAGTGGAAGCACCTCTTTTTTGATGTTCCGAAAATCGAGATTCGGGCTCCGGAGATTCAGCCTGAGAAGAGTCAAGAGAATATAATCAGTTTTTTGAATCGAAGGCTTCTGAGTGGAAGCGCATCATCCATAGACGAGTTTCGATTGGTGCATTACTGGAAAGAAGAATCTCGTGCAACTGAGCCATGGCTTACTGCTCTATTAGTTGGTAATGTTAAAATTCTCGAAATTTCTGGATTCAATAGTCCCCATTATTCGTGCTCTACTCGTTTACCCTCCGGATTCTTTCACTCCAAAACTTTAGAATTCTTGCAACTCCATGGATCTTTTCGTGTTAAGGTTCCTGAATTTGTATGCCTTCACCATCTCAAGGCACTTTACTTGTCACATGTTCACTTCGACTTAGGTTGTAGCCCTTACGAGTTTAAGTTTGCTGAAGGGTATCCTCTGCTTGAAGTTTTGGTACTTGAGGAGATTATTTTCATGCTAAATTGTGGTTGTAATGATGAATTCAGTGACGACGACGACGACGGCGGTTATGTTTTTGTAACAATCTCTTTACCCACTCTGAAAGGGTTAACAGTTATCATGGACGAACCCATATACCACATAGATATTGATGCTCCAAGTCTTCGATCTATCGACTTCAGTTTTAAATCCAATTGTTGTCTCATCCCGGAAATAATTTTTTTGAACTGTGGATCTTTGGTGTCAGCCAACTTCTTTGTTCAGATGATGAAATTGCGCAGGTATTACTTGGAAGAGTATCGATGGTTGCTACCCCGTTTATCCAGGATAGACAAAATCAAAGAGCTCCACCTCGGCTGTGGCTTTTTTTATGTACGTCCCCCAAAGAGGATCAAATGCTATGTGTATTGTTGACAGTAGATGGCTGCTGTGTTGATGAGATTTCATTTGTTTTGCAGGCTTATATGGGTTGTGACGATTCTTTGCCTACAAATCCAAATTTGCTTTTGTCTGCAGTTCAAGAATTTATGTCCACCGTATATCACTTTTCTGATACGGTACGGATGATTGCTTTCTGACACCTTATGCTTCAGTTTTCAACAAAGTCGTTTACTCCATTACTACTTAAGTTTATGCCATTGTTATTTTTCTTTTGTGCAGAGTTTCTTTTGGGAGAGAGATCTTGTTATTCTTCCTCCCCAGATTGAGACACATTGTCTGAATCGCAATCTAAGGCAAATCAAATTGCTAGATTTTGGTGGTGAATGGATTGAGGAGGACTTTGTCATTATAAGATACTTTTTGGAGAATGCCCCGGTCTTGGAAATGATTATTTTAGGGCCAATTCTCAGTGTCACTCATTGTCTAAATCAGATCACTCGCAATTAAGAGAGCTGCAGCGATTCTACTCGAACTGTAAGATTGTACTTGACCTTGAGTAACTTGATTGGGATGAAGTTGGTGAGATTTGAGTAAATAGCTGCTGAAACCTGAAGTTGCAAAATTGCAAACAATCACTTGAACTGCCTGTCGATCACGTCAAAAGTTTATGTCGCAGACCGTCCTGCAACTCTGTGTTATCAAAGATTAAGCTTGATTATGAGAATGCTACACTATTGTTAGACTTGGTACTGTCTCGACATAGGAGTTCTCTTTATTGTATGTTTTAGTTCAAGCTATCAAAAAAGGCAATGCTTTGTGAAGTTCATGTTGTGCTCGCAAGAAGAAAAGAAAATGAAGTCTTTGATGTACTTGTACATATGAAAAAGCTAAGGAAAATGCAAAAAGAGCATTATATATATACTCCCACTGTCCACATAATAGTGCTGCAGTTTGTGTAACACCATCTAAGCAAAACAGAGATACTTTTCTGTACCAAATTCCATCAGATTATTACAAGTGTACATACATTCCAACTTTGAAATTAAAGTAAACAAAAATAGCAGGATAAGTTATTGTATGTTCCGCCAGAAGTCAGAGTCTATGACCTAAAAATATTTTTTATGAAGTGCGATAATTTATTTGTCAAAAATAAAAAAATTAATATAATTTTATGATGATATAATTACCCTTATTTCTTTACTATCATTGTAAATCATACAATTTAAGCTAATCAAATTTTCAAGTTTCCAAGAACATGAATCCTCCAGTTTGCGTGCCATTTTCTGGAGCGTCCTGTTGACGAACTACGAGAGTCGCAACAAGTCATCATGTCATCTTATTTTTCTTCCCAAAATGGAGGAGCCTTGTCAAGGACATGATACTGACGGGAAGATGGATAATGTTGATTCCACAGGAAAGATGGATGTTTCTGATTCGAGTTTTCTTTTTGCCCCTTCAAAATTAAGTAAATTTTCTGTTGCTACCGTATCAAGATGTTTAGAAGGGAAAAAATCAGATTCTGAATCCGTCAATAAGGAGCCGTATAATGTCAAAATACAATTTGCTGACTTTGGTACATCAAATAACACACTAGCAGCAGAATTCTCGGACGTGCAAGCTGAATATTTGCTGCTTATGAACCATAGAGATTCTCAGCTTAGGCCTTCAGAATTTAGAGGTTTAACCAAATCTTCAAATTCCAAGCCTTCAACTCGATCATGAATGACCATTGAAGAACACATCCAATATTGTTTTTGTTGGTAGATTCCACCTGGTGATTGTTATTCTTAAAGAAATATTCAAATTTCAAGCCTTCAACTGGATCAACTCACCAGAATGTCCATTAAAGAACACATCAATATTGTTGTTGTTACTAGATTCATCGATACTTTTAAATGCCGAAGAAAATTGTAGAATAACAATATGCCAACAGCACAATAGCTGAGCTCACACGTATTAGGACTTTTTGTGTTTTATTTTTCGGCACAAAGAAAATTCTGAAAATTATTGTCCAGTTTAAATTTTCTATTTATAGTACAAATTGAACTAAAAGTAAAAATCCAAAGTAGACAAATAATTTTGGGACGAAAAGAGTATAATTTTATTTTATAAGTTGAGTTGGCCGGCCTGAGAATTCGAAATTCTAACTGACCCAATTTGAGAAAAGCGCGGGTCAAATACAATTTCGGGTTATAACAAGAAAGCGGATCCTAACTTTTCTCGTCATTTCACTGGGGTTTATAGTGCCGCCTCCAAAAATATTCGCCTAATTCTCGCCGGAACAACGTCTTCTTCAGGTCCGTGGACGGTAATTTCCTCTGCAACTAAAACTTCCAATCATTTTCCCCTTTTTATATTAAGCTGGTTTATTTACTTCATTTTAGCGGAATGATTCGAGGCGCCCCCTCTTTTAATTATCACTCGTTCATTACTTTAATAGCTAGCTACAGGGTTGTGGTAACAAGGATTATCTTCTTTTGCTATTAGAGTTAGAAGTGAGATGATTTTCAGTGTAATTTTTGTCCCTTTTTTTTTTTTAATATATTTACCAGTTTGATCAATAAGAGGGGATGGATTGGACCAATCTGCAAATAGGTTAGATGAAATTTGGGGAGCAAAGTTTGGCCTTGTCAGGGTTTACTAGTTTACTCAACTTCAAAACTTACCAGGATAATGTTAACTTCCGTGGACTTGTGTAAGATTGGGTTTGAAAATGGTTTTGTTTTCAATCAGTATAAAAGGGTCTGCACTTCTATCGTTTAGGTCCTTAGTTATGTCTCATAGCTACATTTTCTTCTGTACGAAGCAGAAATGAATTATATCCTTTAAAAGTCGGAGACTTTGGAACCATAACTTAGCATCATCCACATTTATTGGCTTTGAGTTGTGCATGATTCCTTTTGAGTGCTTAAATTTCTGTTTAATGTCACGCTTCATACTTCAATATGACGATGCGTGTTGGCCTATTCGTTTCTTAGATTCAGTTTTCCTGGCGTTAAATCTTCAGCGTTTGTGATTGCTTAAGTTGTTTTCTTTTGACTCATAGGTTCTGATTTTTGGTTATAGTTCTTCTGGGTTGCTTGTTTTAACTTGCTTCCATTTCACTCCTGCATTTTCTTTTTATCCTCATTTTAGTAATTATTGTGTAATACTTTCGGTGTTATTTGGTAGTACCGTATATTGAGTTGGTTCATCGTCCTAAAAGTAAAAGGAGTTGGACATCTGTGTTGCTTAGCATGAATAGCAGAATGAAGAACTGTAATTTTGCATTTTGTGCTACATTATAATCTCGATCCTTCTTCAGTTTTTTGTTTTTGGGCTATGTATTTTGACAGCCTGGTCAAAGTTCTGAATCTTGTGTTTCTTTATGACGGATATATTTCTCCTGAAATCCTGCTCAAAATATATTTACAGCTATCTTCGCAGTTACTTCTATATGAGACTAGAGTATGAATGTTTTATTTTTGGTTTAAGCTTATTGTTTGTTTCGTGGGTATATCATAAATTTGATCCTCTCATTATTAGTTGTTCACATGGGGTCTCTTGAATGGAATAGTAACTTTCTTTACTTTTTTGCCAGATTTTTCAGAGGGAGTTAACAAACGGCTCTTGTATCTTTGGTTAATGATCTAATCCTCAGATGGCTTCCTCGGCTACTTCCAGATTATTTCATGGTATTTGAGATGTTACATTGCTCTAAATTTTTGCTTCTTATAGATGAAAACATAGTGACTTCCAATTAAGATTATGAAGGCATATATCATTCCTAGAATATGTGCAAAGGGGCTTATAAGACCTACATGTTGGTAAACCTCAATCTCATTATAATTTTAGGTCCGATTTCGGTGCATATTTCTACCTTAGTTTGCAAGTTATGTTGTCTGGAATGATGATTTGCTACCTTGAATTAAAATACTATCTATTCATAAGAAAACAGAAGTTATCTCCGTGATTAGTCATTTCACTCTTCTAATCTCTGTTTTCTCTCTTCCTTTGCTGCTGTACTTTTGTAGCTGGCAGGTCATTATTTGGGGTCGCCAGCCAGAATCCCAGCGGATTAATTGGAGCATTATGCGACACCTCCTCTGCTTACTTTGGCTTTCAGGTTAGATTCCTTTTCAGTTAATCGGTTCCAGAAGTTTCTTTTTTTGTGTGTGTGACACAGACATATCTTCCAGTTGGCCCTTTACTGTTGACAACTTATATTTCGTGTCAGAGGTTTACAATATCTGGAAAACAACACCTCTTTCTTCTGTGAAACCAAGTTACTTCCTTTACTTCTGCAAACAGATTTCCCTTTTTTTTGCGGGACAGTTTGTCCTTGTGCCTTCCTTTGCTCTCCATTACTCATAACTTTGTTGTCAATTAATGGTAATTAATCGGAGTGACCAATTGGCTGATCAGGCACGCATATGACATTTTAATTTTTATCCTTATGTGGACCTTCACCTAATTTTGTTTCTTCTGTGCAATCAACATATTATGCCAAAATTTATATCTGGCTTTCCCTATGCCTCTTCAAGAATTCTTTTAACCCCTCAACTGGTATTAGTTTATCAACATATGGCCACAATGTTCACTAGTTGTCATTAATAAACAAATGACTGCAAGTTTTGCTCATATCTTGTCATTAATAAGATGACCTATAGAAATATCTGTGGGCAATTCTTGAACTGAATGAGTTCAGAAAAGTTTATATTATTGAGTTGGCCAAAGATGTGTCTAATGAAAGCATCCTTTCTAAGGGGAGAAATTGTAACCGATATTATGTTCAAACATAATACATGTCTTTTGTGTTTCCAGCAACTGAGGACCTTTATACAGATGAGGACCAATCTCAAAGTAGTGGACAACTCTGGGGCAAAGAGGGTAATGTGCATACAGGCATTGAAAGGCAAGAGAGGTGCTAGATTGGGAGACATGATAGTTGCATCAGTAAAAGAAGCTCAACCTGGAGGGAAAGTGAAGAAAGGACAGGTTGTATACGGTGTCGTCGTTCGCGCCGCGATGCAGCGAGGCCGTTGTGATGGAAGTGAAGTCAAGTTTGATGACAACGCAGTGGTTCTGGTAAACAAGCAAGGAGAGCCAATTGGAACCAGGGTGTTCGGCCCAGTTCCACATGAGCTCAGGAAGAAAAAGCATGTCAAGATCCTGAGTCTTGCAGAGCACATTGCCTGATCTCTGGCCCTTCCCATAACCGTACTCTATTATCTTGGGTTCCTTTTAACTTTTGAGGTCGTTCTATGCAAAAATTTGTGGAAATCCATGTTCACTGTTGCAGATTCATGCAAATCAATGGGGGATTATTTATGTTCCATTTTTCCTCTAGTAAGCAAGAACAAGCTCTCTAGCTAAAACCTCCATCCCTAGTCTTAGCAGTACCTCCACCACTGAGGCAAGACCGGTTTCTTTATTTCATACTGCTTCTTCTTCGGAGAATAAAACGCAATGTACTCTTTCCTTAGCTTTTTTGGCCTGCAAAATATTGTCGGAACAGAATATAGCATTTACAGATGTAACAAAAAGCAGTAGCTATCTGGATCATCATGCAAGTAAACAATCAAGAAGCTCTTAACTTATACCTCCTTTTCCCAATCAGTTCTTAAGATTATCATGCAAAGGAACGATGCATGCGCTATAAGAGCCACGATGAGTCCCATCCACAGACCCTGTGAACCATATAATGAACAATAACAAGCTGTCAAGAGAATACTTCATTGGTCACGATTTAAAGCTATGAGAGAAGGTTTTTGTTCCAATGTTTGCGTCGTTTTTTCGATCATCCTTCGTCTCACTCTCATCATTAGAAGGATGGGTTGATTCCCAAAGAATGAAATAGAGAATCTCATTTAAAGACGGGACGATTAGTCGAGCAAAGAGACTAAACATATGTACCTTTCCTCCGACTTGATGGGAAAAGGCTAGAAATATTCCAGCAGGCAGACCAAGTAGATAATAAGCACCCAAATTAACTATTGCACATATCCTTTGCTTCCCACATCCACGTGCAGCTCCTGATCAGAGTAACATTTGCCATGTTAGCTGCAAATTAATTTCCTACACCAGTTCATCAAGATGGCATCTATGAATATAATATTTGTTCGAATCAGATGTCTAAATTTCACTTTGGCGATCTTTTCCAAGCAAGAGAAACATCTTTCTAATAGGAGATTGTGGAAGAAAAGAAAGATGTTGAAAGATTACAATCCCTCCGTCAGGTTGTAACAAACAGAACAATCATTTTGGGACGGAGGATTTGCATTAGTTGCTCATTTGGGATGTGGGTATTGCTAACTTAAGAATGAGTTGAACTGAATAGAAAAATGTGAATAGACCTGAAAGCACAGATTGAATGCCGTCTATGAAATGAGATACTGCAATCAAAAGCAACATTTCTCCAACATATTTTACAACATTCTCTTCTGTACTATAGCAATAGCCCCATATATTGTGTCCAACAGTCATCATTGTTCCTGCCAAGATGCCCTCTATAGTAATCATGAACACCGCGATGTGTGATGCTAAACGAGCTGCATATGGCCTTCCAGCACCTAGTTCATTGGACACTCTTACACTGACAATAAAAAGAATGAAAGTTGAACAAGCCTATAAATGAAATTGACAAGAAAAATTACTTTTGATAACCTTATGATCGATCACCTTATAGCGCTGCCAAGCCCAAGCGGTATCATGAAGAATGTACTACTAGTATTTAGGCTGGCACGAACAGCAGGAAAAACAAGTTAGGGCAAGATTTTAGCTGTGCTTAGAAGTCAACTGATTAGGCATGGTGCAGTAGGCTAACCTGATGGAGAGAACTGATGTTTCTAATTTTGGATTTGGTAGAAGGCCAGATAACAATACCATCATCTCGAAAGACCAGATCTCCAAACTGTTTAAACATTGTTGAATGATTACTTCCGTAGTTCACATAAGGATAAATATCTGTCAAATGAAAACAAAGCCAGAAGACGATTACCAGATCATTACAGCTGAAGGGACAGCCAATTTCAGAAACTTTGGCACGCCCTTTAACGAATCTTTTGAGAAACCATTCCAAGTTTTCTTGCAGGAAGGAGATAACCTGACATATGTTGCCAACAGTAACAAATTGATCCAGTAAGAAATAGCATTAGCCAGGGCTGCACCTTTGCTTCCAAGTCCAGACTTAAACACCAAAAACCAGCAAGTGAATACATGGAGAATGGTTGTGAAACAAGTGCTGAGCATCATTGGGATGACATTGTTTTGTGATTGCAGAAACCTAATATGGCATTGCAGAAGAGCAAAAGCAAAGATGCTTGGGATCATATAGCGCGCATACAGCCCGGCTTCAGTTGAAATTTCGGCATCTTGCCCTAAGAATTGGAGAATGCACCCTGCATTAGCCCAGATGAATGCCAGAGGAAAAGTTACCAAAAGGAGAACAAACATGGCTCCTTGCAGATGAATTCCAAGCATATGATACTGTTTTGCTCCATATGACTGACCACAAAAGGTATCCAATGCACTCCCCATTCCTGTCTGTTGATCAAAAAATCGAAACAGAATAAGAAACAAGAGAAACAAGGAATCAATCCCATGTGAAATCAGACTGTAATCCAACTTACAAGCAAGCTGAAACCGGTAACAGAAGCGAAAGAAGTAGCCATTGAAGCACCTGAAAGGGCTAACTCTCCCAGATGACCAACAAACATAACTGAGATTACTTGTAAAGAATATATCAAGAGGTTAACCATTACTAGAGGGCCTGCCAATCTTAACAGCTTCTTTGCTTCTTCGATTATCTCGTTGCATTTTCTCCCAAATCGGATGTGATCATTAGTTCCAACTGAACATTGATCAATGAGTGGACATTCAAGGTCTTGATGAGCTCTCTCTTGCCTGTCCATGGTTGTAAAAAAGTTACTCATCAATGGGGATAACACACACTTAACAATTCTGGGTTCTTGTAAAAGTGCAAAATGTTGAACAAGTTGGAAAAAACAAAATGCAAAATATCTAACACAAAAGAACAATAGAGGACAAAGATATATTCTAAACTATGTTTATCCATCTGGCGCCCAGCTCCTAGATTTCAAGTGTTTGGAGTTTTTTTGGTTTAATAAAAACAAAAAGGAAAGGGGATTGGATCTGCATGCATGGATGATTAAGACTTTCATTATTTTTTTTATTTTTTTTGGAAGCAGCCTCTGGACGTTGACTTTTCACCTGCTTTAATGAAAATGAAGGTTTTTTTTTTTTTTTTTTTTTTTAGTCCAGCGCCATCCACCTTATTAGTTGTGTAATGCAATTAGAGTAACAAACTAACAAACCATAAAAATGGCTTAATAAAAATATTTTCACAACATTAGAATGTATTATTATTATGGTTATGCAACAGAGGGAGTCTATGAATAACATTTTCAATCAAAACAATAACCACTGCCTGCGGCTGGTGCCCTGCCAATTCCGGAGCAGTTGCACTGGTTAGTGGACCGCAACTTATAGATCCATCCAAATTAATTTATGGAGGATAATTTATTTTATTTTCCAGTTTTCTATTAATTAGAATATTTTAGATGATGACACTACCACTACTCCACAGAAAATAAAAATAAAAAATTAAAAAAAAGGTTCTATTCCAATTCCATATTCAATCTAGGACGAGCTCTCCAGCTAAAAACCTCCATCCCTATTGACAAAAGTAAGTTCTCCTTCCATTCCAAAATAAGTGTCATTCTAGAATTTGTACACAGTTTTAATAAATACTTAAATAGGGTAGCTAAAATTACTAGAATATCCTCAACTAACCCTATTAAAATAAATGTTCACCAATAATATTATTTCTTATGAGGTTATGTTTGGAAATTTTTGACAAAAAATGCATTGAAATCCGAAAACGACACTTATTTTGAAATTTCTCCATTTTGCTAAAACGACACTTATTTTGGAATGGAGGGAATACTTTCAATACCCCTTCCATTATTACTGAGAATAGGACGGTTTTCCTTTATTTTTTTGGGTACAAAAAAAAAAAAAAAAGGCCATAAGTTTCATATAAGTACATTATTACACGGGTACGAGAATTATATCATGTGCTAGCCTTCATGTAACTTCTTCTTTGGAGATTGAAATGCAATGAGCTCTCTCTTTAGCCTTCTTCGCCTTCAAAATTGTGGAAACACAACAGATCAATAACAAACAGCAGGGGATAATGCAAAGCTCAAAAGAATCAACAACATACATGTTCGATTAATATACCTCTTTTTCCCAATCAGTTCTTAAATTTATAATGAAAAGGCTGATTGCTTGCGCTGAAAGAGCCACGGTTAGTCCCATCCACAGACCCTGTGAATCAAATTTTTTCAATTATAACAAAGCTGTCAAGATCTCTCTGTCCAGGCAGATTTTTTTTTTTTTTTCCTGGAGCGATGTTGGTACACAAAAAGTGAAACCGAGAATCTCAGGTAGAGGCACGACGGTTAACCGAGCAAAGGAACTAATATATGTACCTTTCCTCCAACTTGATGGACAAAAGCTAGAAATATTCCAGCAGGTAGACCAAGTATGTAATAAGCACCCACATCAACTATTGCACATATCTTTTGCTTCCCACATCCACGTGCAGCTCCTGATCAGAGTAAAATTCTTTCGCCATGTTAGCTGCAAGTTTTTTCTTGAATTAATAAGCTACATTCCTCAAGATGGCATCTACCAATACAGTATGTGTTCATCAAATCAGATGTTTAATGTTCACATTGGCAGATAAGAAACGATTCCTTCTGTTCAAAAATAATAGTCCTGTTTCATGAACAAAAATCGTTCATCAAACATGACTCTATATTTTAGGACGGAATGAGTGATTTGGATAGGCAGTTGCATTTGGCATTTCTAACTTAAGAATGACTCAGAATCGAAGAACAAAATGTGGATAGACCTGAAAGCACAGATTGGCAGTCGTCTATGAGATGGGATACCGATATCAAAAGCAACATTGCTCCAACATATTTAACAACATTTTCTTCTGTAGTATAGCAATAGCCCCATATATTGCGCCCCAGCGTCAAGATTGCTGCTGTCAAGACGCCCTCTATAACAATCACAAACAACGCGATGTATGCTGCTAATTGAGCTGCATTTGGCCTTCCAGCACCTAGTTCATTCGCTACTCTTACGCTGGGTGACAAAAAAAATAAACAGGTTTAGAAATGAATTTGACAGAAAAAATGTGACCATTGAGTTAATAAAACCATATACGGTCATCAGTCATCACCTGACAGCGCTGCCAAGTCCGAATGGTATCATGAAAATCATAGTACTAGTATTTAGGCTGGCATATATACAGAAGCAAGAACTTGTTAAAGACAAAGATTTTGGCCGTGTTTACCAATGAATTGATTAGGCTTGATGCAATCATATAGCAAACCTTATTGAGAGAACTGATGTTTCCAATTTTGGGTTTGGTAGAAGACCAGATAACAGCACCATCATCTCGAAGGACCAGATCTCCAAACTGTTATAAAGGATTTTGAAGGATCACTCCCTTCAATTGCCTGATTTAAATCTATACTCAAAATTAGAAAGCACGGCGAAGAAGATGATTACCAGATCATTACACCTGAAGGGATAGCTAATTTCAGAAACCTGGGAACACCCTTTAATGAATCTCTTGAGAATCCATTCCAAGTTTTCTTGCAGGTAGGAGAAAACCTGACATATGCTGCCAACAATAGCACATTGATCCAGTAAGAAATATCATTAGCCACAGCCGCTCCTCTGCTTCCAAGGCCAGACTTAACCACAAAAAACCAGCAATTGAAGACATGGAGAATGGTTGTGAAACAAGAACAAAGCATCATAGGAATGACATTGTTCTGTGATTGCAGAAACCTCATATGGCACTGCAGGAGCGCGAAAGCAAAGACACTGGGGATCATGTGACGCGCATACACCCCGGCTTCAGCTGAAATTTCGGGATCTTGCCCGACAAATAGGAGAATGCTCCCTGCGTTAGCCCAGATGAATGCCAGAGGAAAAGAAACCAGAAGCAGGACTAACATCGCCCCTTGCATATGAACTCCAAGCATATGATACTGTTTGGCTCCATATGACTGACCACAGAAGGTATCCAAGGCAGTTCCCATTCCTGTCTGTTCATCCAAAAATCAACAAACAGAATCATAAACTCTAGCAAAAACAGTAATCCCAAAAGAAATTGAACTAAAGTGTAACATTACCAACAAGCTGAAACCGGTAACTGAAGCGAAAGAAGTAGCCATTGAAGCGCCTGAAAGGGCTAACTCTCCCAAATGACCAACAAACATGATTGAGATTACTTGTAAGGAATATATCAAGAGGTTGACAATCACTAGAGGGCCAGCTAAAATTAACAGCTTCTTTGCTTCCGCGATTATCTCATCGCATTGTCCCCGGAACTTGATCTGAGCATTACTTCTATCTGAACATTGATCGATCAGTGGACACTCAAGGTCTTGAGAAGCTCTCTCTGGCCTTTCCATGGTCAACCTCTCTCAAATCTTTCCAATTCCAGCACTGATCAAAATACTCAAAAGGGATGACACATTAACAAATTTGATTGATTATTTAGTGCTGTATGAAAGGACAAGTTGACAAAATTTGCAAAGGTTTCTATTAAAAAAAGAATTGAGAGAAGGGATGATCTATTCATCTGGCTGTGCCTGCGTGCATGGATGATAATGATTACTCCCTCTGTACCAAAATTATTGTCTAATTTGATATTTCACTTTTAGTACAGTTTGAACTAGAAATAAAAACCGAACTGGACAATAATTATGGGACGGAGGGAGTATAACTTTTTTTTTTTAAAGAGGCACCATCTGCACGTTAAATTTTTTATATGTTTTGATAAAATAAAAATAAATTGTGCTTTGAATACATCATATATTTTACTTCAATTTGCTGCTACTGGTCTTCTAGGTTGGATTGTCAACCTTTTTGAAACGTCCCTTCGATTGTTTCTTTATTATGAGAATGAGCAAATCATTTGGAGGGTGTTCGCCAAATTTGTTCATAAACTATTATTTTAAACCAACCTTTTTACTTATATAAGTTGTGCTCTGCAATTATTTTTAAAGTAATAAATTAATAACAACCAGAAATAGCTTTAGAAAAAATGATAAATAAATAAGGGAGACCAAGACAAAAGGAGAATTCAAATTAAATTCCCTAATTTTGTTCCATGTGACCATAGTTTGCAACTAAAGCGAGAAAACTTTTTATTTTTAAACGAATAGAGAAATACAAATACTACATGGGAAGAAAGCATATTGCCAAGATGTCTGATGCTTCTGGGGTTTTATGGGGGTCTCTTTTTGTCTATGGACATCCAGATCAATCGTTAAGATCATCTGTTTAGAATGAAGTTAGAAGCATCGTTTCACGGTCATTGCTGGATCTTCTCAATGAACTTAATATGACAAAACTTCCCTTTAGAGGAAACAAATTCACATGGACGAATAACCGCAAAAGGAAAGGAAGGATCGTGGAACGTCTAGATCGAGCCTTTGCCTGTGACAGTTGGTTCCGTCTTTTCCCCCAGGCATTTGTTTTGAATCTACCAATAACCATTTCAGATCATGGTCCTCTTCTATTACACACAAGACAGGACCAACTGAGAAATCGACAAAGGGTCCTTCGATTTGAATCCTTTTGGTCCAAGATTCCGGCAGCATTGGAGATTGTGAAAAAAGTTTGGGACCAACCCCAAACCTCCGGAAATGATCTTAAGCATGTCTCACTAAGGTTGGAGATCTGTCTGAAGCATCTCACAAATTGGAGTAAACAGTCTTTTGGTGCACTAGACACAAAGGTCAGAAGATGCACAGAGAGACTTCACAAGTTGCAGGTGGGTGAGGGAGCTATGAACAATCAGGAGCAGATTGATGAACATAAGGAGGAGCTCGAGAGGATTTATAAACTTGATATGCACCCTATAGATGATTAAAACCAATATTGGCGAATCCGGTTTATTTATAAACTTGAAGAGCTCTTCTCCACAGCCTATTCGTGAAAATGAGATTAAAAGTGAAAAACTCGTGGTTTTTTTGGCGACAATCGTTTGGCAGGACTTTTTGAAAGTAACAAAAAATTTAATGTAAATAATATAGACAGCTAATATTAGTTTGCTGTAAAGTTATTGTTGCATGTAGCTGCACAACTAGTGTTTATTCTGGAACCAAGTGAAAAGGCTGAAACTACCAAATTAATTGAGAATTCAACTAATAAAAAAGTAGTTGCAGTGTAATATTACTTGGCTATCTAAAGTTAAATCATTGCCTTCCATATTGTTGCTGGTTTTTTTTCCTTGCTTTATTGTTGTTAAAAAAAAATTAACGATGTGTGTTAGGTGTTTCATTCTTGGTATGAAAGAAAATTAACAATGAATTTTATATCTTCTTTGTCAGAAGTGCGTTCTGTTGAATTCTATAAATTACTTTGAGATTCAATCACTTGGTTAAAAATAGCAACTTCCTCAACTTCATCCATTAGTAAGCAAGTGTTTTAATTCTTCTTCTATGCTCGTTTTGATTTCTATTTTCTGTGCGCTTATTTATTTGCTGCAAAGGTAGTTTGCATTACAGTGTTTGCATAATTTTGTTTTATTATTTTTCTTCTCTTCTTTTCACATTCTCATTTCTCCATACTTCTAAAAAAGTGTTCATGCGAGCCCGGGAAATCAAAGCGTTAACGACATTAGATATTTTTAGAAGAATATCTTAGGCCTTTTGGACCATTTGTATTCTTATCTTTAGCCCTGATCCTTCGAGAGCCCCTACGCAAACAAAAAAACCATATAAATGGGCCTGGCTTTATGGATTTAACTTCAACAATGTAAGTATAAGCTAATCCTTCAACGAAAGACACGGTCAAATTAAAGATTTGGTGACACTGACATAATACTAGACCGGGTCACATTATCTCACTTTCCAAGTCTCATTTATGCATCCCAAATAATGTGCGCCATTTTCATTCCAATCACAATTGACTTTTTTTTTAGGTCGAAATGTAAAAATTTCATTGATCCGCAAAACTGCATATTTACAACTAAGTAATTTCTATTTTAGTATTCCCTCCGTCCCATAATTATTGTCCACTTTGCCTAAAAAATTTTGTCCCAAAATTATTGTCCAATTTGACTTTTTATGGATCCAGTTATACATTTGTCCTTAGTAAAAAACATTATCCACAAAATCTTTGTGGTTAAATAATTACTTATGTAGGAGTATATCTGGTTGTTCCAGATAAAATATAATTAAGTTCGACTAAAAATAAAATTTTTCATTTTAGTAAAACTGGACAATAATTATGGGACGGAAGGAGTATTACATATGATCCTGCAACTATCATTTGCTACCACTATACAAAGCTACTGATCTACACTACTCAAAAATTCTGGTTTCCATCTCTGATTTTCTATTTCCTCTACAATGTTCCACTCGCCATCTGACCTCCTTTTTAATCTCATTAAGTAGTATCTCTTCAGACTTGCTAATACTAAAAAAAGTTCTCCTATTCCGCTCTATCGAAATATGATAAACCAACACAGCCAAAGTAGCAAAGATTATACTTCTACTTAGTGACTGTTTTTTCCATCTTCTTAGCACTCCCTTTCTCCATTGGGAATGCTGTATAGGCAGATCACAATTGACTTGATAATGATTTTTGCAATGTTCATTGTAGAAAATTGCACATAAGTAACACGCAAAAATGTAGCGCAAATTTCCTCCTTTTAAGTTTTAACATATTATAACTACATGAGTACACCCTTTGCTTCAATTAAAACTAAGCAAAAAAAGGAAAATAACTTAGCTAATGTCCCAAAAAGCTAATTCAAGTTAAGACATAGCTACCAACTCCAACAAATCTTGAAAGTTCCTCACAGAGCTTCCATTTGGTACTTGAACAGCATCAATGGCTTTTCCCTTGAGCACTTGAACATTTTCTCTGATTTGCTTCCCCTTTTCACTTGACAAAATAACTTCAATAGCACTGACTGTTCCATCCTTAGTGAACACCCCATCTTTAACCCTCAATCCAATCTTCCATTTATCCTCCACCATTGCACTATTCAAAACTTGATCCCCAAAAAATGGCCTACAAATCAAGGGGACACCATATGATATGCTTTCTAAAATGGAGTTCCATCCACAATGTGTTACAAAGACTCCAACTTTACCACTTTGCAGCACTTCCTTTTGTGGTGCCCATGAAACAAATTTGCCATTTCCGGTTGTCCGGTCGATGAATCCATCCGGCAAATTCTTCCGAGCATGGTCCCTCAATGACCACAAAAATGGTCCTTTCCAACTTTCCAATGCCTCTGCTAATGCAACCATTTCATGAGGAGGCGGAGTGATTACGCTGCCAAAGCTTATGTAAACAACTGATGAATCATCCTGCTTTTTCAACCACTCGAGGCATTCGTCGTTGTGATCAGCGGAAGAATCTATTGTTTTCTTCGAAGATTCAGCCATTAAAGGCAAAGGGCCAACGTTTAGGAACTTTTTCAGCTTGGATTTGAGGTCTAATGTGATGGCTGGATCAATCTCTTCAAATGAATTCACCACAACAACAGTTGCTCTGGGCAGATGCAGAGCCATATTGTAAATCAGAAGAGCCAATGGTGATTGATTGTTATCCATCAGAACTTCTTTGGGCATGTCCTTGATGCTTAAACCGTCAAAACCCGGAATCATTCCAACTGTTTGCTCTGCAAAAATGATCAATTGGGACAATTCATAAGTAATCAGATTCAGGAAAATAAAGGAAACGACAAAATGAAAGGGTGAGAACCATTTGTGGAGAGCAATCTTCTGATATCATCTGTATAGAGATGTGCAGATAAAGCACAAGATGCAGCAGTCCAAAAGGGAATCCATGGAACTCCATGTTTCTCAGCCAAATCAGCGGAAAACCAAAGAAAAGCATCAGTCAATAAGCAGCTAATCTTGACCCCTGTTTCTTCCTCTGCTTCCTTCATAGCCTTCTCAAAATTACCAGGGGTTGCGTTTATGAACAACCCAATTTGTTCAAAATGCGGATTCCCTTTAAAGACATGATCTTTAGGGACTCCATCCCAAACTTCGTAAGCTTCGATGTTGGCGAATTCTTCATCGCCTTTTCCACCCGAAAAGATCGATTTGTTCGATTCCGATGAGCCGAAAAACGAAAAGATGACATCTTCAGGCGCTGAGGCAGCAATTCTTTTGATGAGATGGAGCAGAGGAGCAGCATGTGTGCCGAAGGGAAATGCCAAAACAGCAATATGACGAGAAGCCGGCATTTTTTTTTTCTCCTTTCAATTCAGAGATTAAGAAAGCTGGGTTCTTTTCCTTGTCAGTCTACTGTGGTCTAAAGTACAGAATGGAATCGAATTACAGCAATTTATCAGAGCTTCATTTAAGGCAATAAAACTGGCTAGTGGGCTACCTACCGTTCTGGAAGAACGTGTAAAATCACTCATCCGCCAGTCTTTTTACAGTGTTCACTCACTTTCCATGTCCCTACAATTCGTCACCTCAGTTTTACCAAAAACAAAAAAAGAGAGTCCAAATTTTGAACATGAGGTTCACAAGAGGAAAGATTTTATGATTTTATCTTGGAAATTAAACTGTTAATAGGAAAGATCAGATAGCATATCAAGTTTGTTTTTTAAGAATGATATATCATAATTCATAAGTTTGGTTTTCAAAAATTAACTATCAAAATTGAATTACTAGTATCGTTACGGATTGATGGAGTTTACCATAGTATTTTCGCGCAGAAGTTCTAACACGCTTACCTAATTTACCGAGCTAGCCTGACGGTTCTGTATCGTAAAATAATAATTTTTGCGTTCACAATTTTACATAATCTGTAATGCATGTAACAATGGTTTGTAAGTAAATTTTTATTTTTTTTTTTGTTCTTTTTAATAGATCATCACTATGGGTTTGGTTTATTATGTCATTTAAGTAATTATTTCAATTATGATTGAGGTATAATATTTATTTCAAATAAAAATTATTTATGACAGGATTAATAGACGATAAGTTGGACATAAATACCACTTCACACGAGACTGGTGGCTACATGGTGGATGTACTGGTAGAATCAGTGGTGGTTACAATATTTTCAAGTTTGAATTTTCCAACTGATTTGGTAATAAAAAACCAAACTAATTGATTACTATATCTATTTGTCTGTAGCCCAGATCCATTTCAGTTGTTCTCCTGAAATGTCTCTATCACCCAAACATGTTAATTACTCCCTCCATTCCCAAATAGACATCATCGGACTAAAAACCAAAATATTCTAAAATAGATGTCGTTCTCACAAATTATGACATGTTTTGTTAGTTTCTTCCAATACTACCCTTACATTGGAAATTGTAATGATGTTTAATGTAGAAATATATTAGAACTAAATGTTATTGGAACTACAATTGTATTAAGAATAAATGAGGGTATTATAGTATTTTAACAAGATAATTATTGTTTCCTTAAAGTTTATGACATCTCTCCAACGACATCTATTTGTGTGGGGAGAGTACTTCATTTCGTCTATTAAAAAAAAAGTATTAGTGGATTATATATTTTTTTAAAAAAAAAACTATGACATTATAATGCATTGATTTGTTTTTTAATAAAAAATAATCAATGCACTGTAATGTTATATGTTAATTTCTTATCACTTCCCATTTTCGTTTCCTCATAATAACACTCTTTAATGCTTTCTTGTTATTCTCTTATGAAGCTGAAAGTCTGAAATACCAGAGGTTTTTCCTTAGGGGCCATCCGATAATTAATGTTTATGTCATCCCATATTCTTGGAACATTTCTGTATTATACTACGTATCTTTCACCGGAAAACAAACCTGATGCAAGTATGCAACTAATGCATGGGCCATTGTATCTGTATCATCTCATCTACGGACCTCCAAGGCTCCAAGCCTCCAACCATATGTATACATTATGTAACGGTATTGATGTAAATTGACTAATTACTCCCTCCGGTCTTTATTATAAGTCATTTTGATTTCGTCTTAGGTTTTATTTATAATATTGTTTTACTTAAAAAAAAACCTTAAAATTATATTTTCACATTCGTTATATTCTTCAAATAATTATAAAATATTTTTAAGGTTTTTATTTCAATTAAAAGGACATCCTTAGTGAAACTTAGGACGAAATTAAAATGCCTAATAATAAGAACCGGAGGGAGTACTATTTTAATGTAAAAGTAAAAAATGAAAATGAGAAGGGGGAAGAAATAGGGATTAAGTGGGCAGATTTCAGAGGCAAGATAGAACCATTATTGCGAGGAAGGAGATCGGAGAAGAAAAGGAAAATTAGGGAAGAAATAGATGTTCGGTAATCTTTCATTCATAATGGATAAATTTCAATAATCGTGGATTGAATACTTCAGCTGATCGATTACAAAAGCTAATCAAAATCGGACCCCTCTAATTTTACATAATCTAAAATTATCCTTAAAGTATGACACATGGATGACTTAACCTAATACTCTAGTTGTCAAACCAAATGCATGTGATTTGAGGAGCGAAGCGCTATAAATATGGAGTAGTTTTAAAAAATTGACTCATCTACTAAACAGTTTATTATCTAACTAGGAGGAATAGTTATTTTTATCATTTACAAATACTTATAAATATGGCCGGAGAAAAAGTAGAGTATGCATGTATCTCAAAATAATTGTACTGGACGAAAAGACCATTTGTTTCTATGTGTGTTATCAGTAGTAGTATATCAACATTAGCATATGCGGTTTCATGATTGTAGCTCCAGGGGATAGTATGGTTGCAAATCACGAGTGTAGAATTTGGACATAAAAGATTCATAGAGCCAACCAAGATTGTAAAACCATGGTTATTTCGTGATATCATCGGTGTTTCCTATGCCCGAAATCTTGTATTGTGATCACTAGGCTTTTTTACCTCCCTCTTTGAACCAAAAAAAAAAACCATTATGTCAAGAAAGTAAAACTGCAGGTGCCCACGACAATTAATCTCAAGGACAAATGTATTATGATAATATCCTTGTCCAGGTGCTAAAAGACAGCACAAAACACACAAACATATTAACTACAGGTGACTGAATTCATGTTAAATATATATATTCCTCTATAATAAACCCCCCAGTCACTCGGATCTCATTCATTATCTCCTGAAAGCTAATTCCATATTAGGAAGACTTTGTTATCACCTTCAACAATTCCTGAAAATTTCGGGCTGAACTTCCATTGGGTTTAACAGCATCAGTGGCCAGTCCCTTGAGCAATTGAGCATTCTCTTTGATTTCCTTTCCCTTTTCACCAGACAATATGAGTTTTATAGCATTGACAGTTTCATTCTTGGTGAAAATCCCATCCTCGACTCTCAATCCAATCCTCCATTTCACCTCCACCATTGCACCATTCAAGCCATGATCCCCGAAAAATGGCCTGCAAATCATCGGGACACCAAATGAGATGCTCTCTAGAACCGAATTCCATCCACCGTGTGACACAAATACTCCAACTTTCCCACTTGCCAGAACTTCCATTTGTGGTGCCCATGAAACCAATTTTCCGAATCCGCTTGTCCCATCGATGAATCCAGCAGGCAAACTCTTCCGGGCATGATCCCTTAATGACCATAAGAATGGAAATTTGCAAGTCTCCAATGCCTCTGCTAATGCTACCATTTCATTAGGAGATGGAATGCTTACGCTGCCAAAGCCAATGTATACAACTGACGCATCATCCTGTTTTCTCAACCATTCAAGGCATTCGTCGTTGTGTTGAGCCGCGATCGAATGAAAAGGGCTAATGTTGAGGTAATTTTTGAACCTCGGTTTCAGGTCTAAACTGATGGCTGGATCCAACTCTTCAAATGAGTTTACCACAACTGCAGTTGCTCTGGGCAGATTTAAAGCCACATTGTAAAGTAGAAGAGCGATTGGTGATTGTTCGTTGGTCAACAGAATTTCTCTGGGCATGTCACCGATGCTTAATCCTTCCATACCCGGAATCATTCCAATGGTTCTCTCTGCAAATATCATTCATTAGTCCAGAATTTATATGCCTGAACCGATCTGAGATTAAGAAGTTACAAGAAAAACACCATTAGAGGACACATATAGACAAAATTACCGGTTGTTGAGGCCAATTTCCGGATTTCGTCGGTGTAAAGATGGGCTGCTAAAGAGCAAGATCCAGAAGTCCAAAAGGGTACCCATGGAACTCCAATTTTCTCTGCTAAATCGCCCGCAAACCCGAGAAAAGCATCAGTCAATAAGCAGCAAATCTTGACCCCTGTTTCCTGCTCTGCCTCTTTCATGGCCATCTCAAAATTACCAGGGGTTGCATTTAAGAACAACCCAATTCGTTCCAATTGTGAGTTCCCGGAAAAGAGATGATCTTTAGGGACGCCATCCCACACGCTGTAAGCCTTGATGTTGGCAAATTCTTCATCACCTTTTGCACCTGAAAAGTAGGATTTGTTTGATTCTGGGGTGCAAAAGAAGGAAAAGTTGACATTTTCAGGCGCTGAGGCTGCAATTCTTTTGACGAGATTGAGCATTGGTATAGGATGTGAGCCGAAGGGGAATGCAAGAACAGCAATATGGCTGGAAGGCGCCATGTTTTGATCGGATTTTGGAGTGTTTGCTTCAGTACTTTCAATTCGTTTTTTGCAATTCAGATAGAATTAAAGTTGTGGGATTTCTGATAGTGATGACTTCGGGGCCGAGGTTGTTTGTTTTTATCGGGAATTGGAACAGCAATTTATTGCACTCCATTTATGAAACACAACTCCCGACTAACAACATAAATTCATAGACAACCGTGTTTAGAATCTGTTATGTACGTCATCCTCCTGTAATCTTTTTTGTTGCTACCAGTTTTGGTCTCATTTTTTTCTCACTAACAACTTTAAAAGATTCAACCTTTATAAAATAATTAAATAATTTTTTAAAAAATCCCAGCTTCTTCAGTTTTTGTTTAAACCCGAAAACCCATTCTCCTCTCGTATGATATTCTCATTCATCCTCTTTCTATCATTCTCCATCTACCTTCAACAAACAAACATTCTAGAAATAAAAGAAAGGATACTCCTTCCGTCCTAAAATTATTGTGCAGTTTGAATTTTCATTTTTAATACAATTTGTATTATAAGTAAAATTTTAAACTGGACAATAATTTCAGGATGAATGAAATAATATTAGGAATTAAAATAGAAATTGGAAGACATTTGGTGGGGAAACGAGTAGGCCGGGACAGGCATAAGGCGAAAAGAAAGAGATTCAGCTTGGCCTTGGGCAGACACATAAAGGGTGCGAGCCTGTTGAGCTAATTAAAAACTAGAGTAACTAACTAATAACAAAAAAAAAAAAAAATAGACAAACTTTTGTGGATGAGGGATCCAAACTCTACTATCATAAATCTAACAATCTCATCACCTTAAAACATGTTATGGAAATGGTTAAATGTAATAAAGAAAAACAACAAACTATGCCTCCAAATTAAAGATTACCGTACTCAATTTGGTTAGTTTCACGTGCATCAAAAGCTACGAGATTCTATGTGATATTTTCTTGTAAGTGATACAATCTAATTATTTTTTACGAATTATGTTATTTATTTTAATTCATATACTATAATCACATAGTTTCATTATAGATAAAATGTCACAACGATCCTGTATCGCATCAAAACCACCCTAATTCCTATCCGCAGAGAACATAGAAATTCAATTATCATGAATATAACAACACAAACAAGTAGAAAATCACATCCGTGGCCCAAAACAATTATGTTTTCAACTAAATATTCTAGAAAATTGATTACATATAATAATGAATAATAAATAATTATACATGCCGTAATTATTTAATACATTCTAAAATGATCTACAATGTTTGTATCATTCGGGTATCAAAATGGACTTTTACAAGTTTCTAATGCCTCTGCTAATCATACAGCTATCAAATGGGCTGTTAGTGTTTCACTGCAATGAATTGCACATTTCATAAATAATCGTAAGAATAAAAAATCCAGAATCAACTCTGTTTCAGGCATATAAAATCAGTGGACAAATCAGCTGGTTATAGCCAATTTTCTACCGATGTTATAGCTGATCTTCCACCAATCATTGTTACAAATATATCCATCAAACACACCCAAACACAGAGGTTGGCCACAAAGTTTCATATAATCCTATGAGGTGATTACAGTACAAACTAATTGTTAAAAAGTTTAATATTTTTCAAGTTTTAAATTTTGAAGTTCAGTACAAACTAAATGTTATTACATTAATTTTTTATTAGATGCTTGCCCAGGTGAATGTCCGGATAATCGTCTATGTAAATAAAGAAAATAATTTTTTCAAAAAAGAATAAATATCTTTTTATATAATATAACAATATTGAATGAGAACACAGTAAAGGATCGTTACTTGGTGATCAATTATATATTATTTTTTAATGTCTTAATCCGAATCATTATAGGAGCCCAACTTAAAAAATTAGTACGTATTTCAAAAAATAAAAATCAACGAATGAAGAGATTAGCCCAAGCACTTTTTTAACATTCACTTCTAGGTTAATATTAAAATTTTAGTGTCTCGGGAAAACATTTCATTGTGCAAAAATTATAGTATCTCAATCCGGCAATTGCCCGGCCGACTAACACTTTATCATGTTCTAGTAAATTTCAAAAGATTTTGTACTTTTCCATTAATATAAATAAGATAAATATATTAGTCAGTGCATATTAAAGCCCGAAAGAGATTAAAGACAGAGTAATTTGAGTGGCTAAATCAATTATAACGAACTGCCAAGAAGTGAAAAATTCCTGGGTGGGCTAAAATTAAGTTTTTAATGCAGTAAGTATTGCCCATATAAAATTTTATATTCATATAAATCAAAAAGTTAGTTAAAATTTTCTTTATTTTCCTGCATATAAACAAATCCATCATTTTATTAAGTTTCATTTCCAAACCACCAAAAAAATATAAGGGCCCGTAACTACGATTTTTTTCTTCCGATGCTCCCTCTGCAATTGTAACTTCTTCCCCGGATTCTTGATTGTTGGTTTTTTTTAATTATTATGATGATAACATAATTATGAATGTGTTAAGTTTGATTTTCAATTAATAATTACATGGATTGCCTTGGTTGATATGTGAATGATTTGGTAGCATTGTTTTCCGGTTGATAACGATAACTTTAGCTAATTTGTAGGAATTTGAATCAATGCGCGTTACCGCTGCTAAAAGAGAGGCTTACTTATCTTCTTAATCAAATTATTCCTTTGACGTTTAAGTTAATCAAAATAAATAATTTAAGGAGATTATTTGACATTTGATTTTATCAACTCAATGTTGTTGTTTTAACTTTTAAGGGATTAGTATATAGATATAATTAAGGGATTAGTATGTAACTATAATAAAGGAATTTTTTTTAATTTATTTCATCCTTTTTTCTGAATAGTTAGAGTGCCACATGTCAAAAATGATTTTGTACTTAAAATAATCTTTGGAGGGAAAATTTTCATTGTAGTGCTGACACATCAGCGGCTTGTATGTTATTTTAATTATTGAGTAAATAATATACGATAGATATATGAGTTGATTACAGTGATGAGATTATAATCCTATGAGTCAATAATATTTCACAACTCATAAACACTCTATTCACACAAAAGATATAATATTATATTTTAAAGCTAAATCCAATTCAATTCGTGCAACACATGAGGTTAAATATAGTCATTATAAAAATGATTCATTTAAAGTACACAGAAGTGACATATGACATATAAACTCATGTATCACAATACTATATCACTACACATCCTTGATCAGCTCCTTGATAAGCTGCTTGAAAAATAGGAAAAATAAAGACTCTCGTTTTTTTTTTATAAAAAATATTCTTTATTGAGTTTTAAGATTTGAATTAAAACTATTTTTTTCAAACAGAAGGAATAACAAATAAGCATATGCTCATTGAAAGGATTTATTGCACATGAAACCTGGCACTCTGGTTCCACTTATTTTAAGACTTAGTTAGCACCTTCAACAAGTCCTGAAAATTTCGGGCTGAACTTCCATTGGGTTTAACAGCATTAATGGCCAGTCCTTTAAGCAATTGAGCATTCTCTCTGATTTCCTTAGCCTTTTCACCAGACAATATGAGTTTTATAGCTTTGACAGTTTCATTCTTGGTGAAAATCCCATCTTTTACCCTCAATCCAGCCCTCCATTGCACCTCCACCATTGCACTATTCAAGCCGTGATCCCCGAAAAAGGGCCTGCAAATCAAAGGGACACCATATGAGATGCTCTCTAAAACGGAATTCCACCCACCATGCGACACAAATACTCCAACTTTCCCACTTGCCAGAACCTCCATTTGTGGTGCCCATGAAACCAATTTGCCGTATCCGCTAGTCCGATCGACGAATCCATCAGGCAAACTCTTCCGGGCATGATCCCTTAATGACCATAAAAATGGACTTTTACAAGTCTCCAATGCCTCTGCTAATGCTACCATTTCATTAGGAGGTGGAATGCTTACGCTGCCAAAGCCAATGTATACAACTGATGCATCATCCTGTTTTCTCAACCAATCAAGACATTCGTCGCTGTGTTGAGCCGCCATCAAATGAAAAGGGCTAATGTTGAGGTATTTTTTGAACCTGGGTTTCAGGTCTAATGTGATGGCTGGATCTAACTCTTCAAATGAATTGACCACAACCGCAGTTGCTCTGGGCAGATTCAGCGCCACATTGTGAAGCAGAAGAGCCAATGGTGATTGTTCATCATCCAACAGAACTTCTCTGGGCATGTCATCATCGATGCTTAAACCTTCCAAACCCGGAATCATTTCAACTCTTTTCCCTGCAAATATCATTCATTAGTACAGAACTTATATGTGAACCGATTAGAGAAACACAAATGCAAGGCTGTTTATCACCATTAGAGGACACATATAGATAAAATTACCAGTTGTTGTGGCCAATTTTCGGATTTCGTCAGTGCAAAGATGGGCTGATAAAGAACAAGATCCCGAAGTCCAATAGGGTACCCATGGAACTCCAATTTTCTCTGCTAAATCGGCCGCAAACCAAAGAAAAGCATCAGTCAACAAGCAGCTAATCTTGACCCCTGTATCCTCCTCTGCCTCCTTCATAGCCAGCTCAAAATTACCAGGGGTTGCATTTAAGAACATCCCAATTCGTTCCAATTGTGGGTTCCCCGAAAAGACATGATCTCTAGGGATGCCATCCCACACGCTGTAAGCCTTGATGTTGGCAAATTCTTCATCGCCTTTTGCTCCTGAAAAATACGTTTTATTTGATTCTGGGGTGCAAAAGAAGGAAAAGTTGACATTGGCAGGAGCTGAGGCTGCTATCCTTTTCACGAGATTGAGCATTGGTACAGGATGTGAGCCAAAGGGAAATGGAAGAACAGCAATATGGCTGGAAGGCGGCATTTTTCTTTTGGAGTACTGTTTTCACAACTTTCACTCCAGAAAATGAGTTCCTTCCAATCTAAAGTAGTTTCATGAACTCCCCAACTACCCTTGGTTCATGCATACTTAGGTCCCCGGTCAATCTTTTAAAGTCAGTTCGCGCACACTTTCCTGTCTCCCTAATCCCTGGTTGCGGATACAATCGTGTCATATTAATGAAATGATACGATCCCGATTAAGTGTAACACAAAACAATGTCAATGTTGGTAAATTCACGGGATGCATGGTAGGTGGAAGCCATGGCCACAATTGGCTTAAAAATCTGATGGGGTCAGGAAGGTGGATCAACTGATTTGAATTGAAGGTCACGGCATTTGTGTTCTTATAAAATTAAAGTACTAAAATTTGCATCACGTAGATTCGTGAATGATGTAGAAGTGTTGACGTTTCCAACTTGTTTGATCATCAGTTTTAATATGTTAAATTACAGAATAGTCGAATTTTATGATCTCTTCTGGTCCCAAACTGAATGTCACATCCAAAAGTTCTCCAAATCAATGTATGTAAAAGTGTATGGTTTTCAAGCTGCCAACAAACGTACTTGTTAGTGCACAACTGTACTTATTAGCTCCCTTACCTACCATGTTTTTCAAGATATATAGTATTTAGTTTCGTGAATAATTTTGTTGAATATAGAAATGACCAATTTAGTTGATAAATCTTTTAAGGGTAAACTTCGTAAATTATAATTATGTTTGTAATGTTGATACATTTGCGACGTTTTGTTATAAGGTCTCACAGTACTTATTCATTTCATTGGTGCTTTGGACTGGGAATGAAAATTAATTTATGTATCACTTAAAATAATTGTAACTTTCGATCGGTAACTTTTTTTTTTGATTAAATGATATTGGGTTTGTAGGGTGGGGCTTTTGATTATGCACAATTCTATATCTATCTATATTTCTATATATCTCTCTCTATATATATTATATTAATTATTTTATATATATATATATATATATATATATATTAAAGAAGAATTTCCAATCGGACACATGTCGCAATATTAGATAAACTAACCCACGTGGGGAAAAATTAGATAGTCAAATCCATATGTCGCAACCTCATCACTCCATCATTTAATGATAATTTTTTAATGTAAAATTGTAAAAATAAATTTATAGATAAAAATAAGTAACTAAAAAAAACAAAAGGAAAAAAAAATTGAATTAACGGCAACTAAACCCTAATTGATTAAGAATAATAAATTAACTAACAAACAAAAGGGACTATAAAAAAATCAATTAAACAAAAAGAAACGGTGAAAGGAAAAAAAAAAAAAAAAAAAAAACCAAATGAACACAATACGTACATGTCAATTGAGAATATGTAAATCAACGGTTACACAGTTATGAAATCAACCGTCACTAACCAAATCAACCGTTCTTTTGGGTATCTGAAATAATATTTTTTTACTCTCAGAATACGTAAATTTTAAGTAAAAATATTTGAAATAGCAAAGTGTGGCTGGAGAAAAATATTACTAATTTCATATTTTCTAAATGACACGTAATTGCCCATTTAATTATAAGATATTATAAGTCAAGGTCCAAGTGAATTACATTAATATGCATTTAAGATCAATATAAAGAGCCAAATTAAAATAAAAGTAAAAACCCAAAATAAGGGTTTTAATAGGCTAAACAGTTAATAAAAAAATTGTAAAACAGTCAAATCTTCTCGCGCCAAATTAAAATAAAAGTAAAAACCCAAAATAAGTGTTTTGAATAGGCTAAAGAGTTATTAAAAAAATTGTAAAACGGTCAAATCTTCTCGCTAAGTTAATTATACTTAGTTTTTTTTTTATTGTATTGGTTCTATGTATAGAAGGAATTTTTTTTTTCTTATATAAAGATTTGCCAAATTTAGAACATTCTGTTCTAAAATATCCAATAAAAAATTTGTCCATCTTAAAAAACAAATTTGAAGCACATACCATTATAACTTTTATGAAAAAAACGTGTAAAATATTAATGAAATAGTTATTTTTTTTTTAGTTCTAAATATTTTGTTGTAATTTATTGAATGAGAAAAAATGTATAATAGTATTTTTTTTTACAGATAAATACTAATTGAGAAAAAATGGATAATAATTGATACTTTTTTCAAAAAAAATTAGTGCACTGTCCTCTTGAAGTTATTTTGCACCCCCTTATCTAAAATCATGGTTTTGCCACTATATACACTATATCATAGGAAAAATATATAAACAAATTTTTAAAGAAAGGTTGCAAAATGTATGTAAAGAGATAGTAAATAACAATAAATTTACGGAAAGAAATAATTAAAAAAAATTGTTAGAGAAAGAGTTTAAAAGATATGAAACAGGTAAAAATATTTAGCAAGATCGTTGTGAAAAATTAAGAGAATACTTTTGTCAAATATAAAACCAAAAATTAAAAAAAAAAAAACAAAAATGATGGACGAAAAGTTACATTTGATAATTTGGAATATTGAAAATTATTCTAAATATATTTAAAATAACAAAACACATTGACGTTAAAAATTATACAATTACATTTTATATCATTAATATTATTTTCGAACAACCCGCACAACGTGCGAGATAAACACTAGTATTAAAAGAGAGTTTTTTAATTGTACACATGACGAAAAATTAGATAGGGTAATCCACATATCAAAAAATTAGAAATCAAATCCACATGCCGCGATCACATCATTCCATCATTTTTTAATAATCTTTTATTTGTAATACATAAAATCTATAAATAACTAATTTTACCCAATTTATTGATAAATTCAAGAAACCCGTGCTGATGTCTCCACTATGAGATTAAATTTAGATGGGCATTGGTATCAATTTTCCAATAAAATATTTCACCATTTACAGCCATGCGGCTATAGTGTCTTCACCAACCGCCTTAATATCATGAATTTCTTTGGCTATATATTATTTAATCCATATACAGATTTATAGACGGCTATTGAAATTAAATTTAGTGTTTGACATGAAATTAATTAAATAACCAAGTTCACATGTTGCAACTATAATATTATTTTTTAATGTAAAATTATACTTTATAAGTAAAATTAAATTAACTAGGATATTTCTCATACTCTAACGAGTAATATATTTTTTACCAAACATATCAATCAACAAATTACCAAATTACAATAAGGAGAGAAAATAAAGCCGCATACCTCAAAATTCGTTTATTATGTTATGGGGCCTAAAATAATCGGAAAAATGATCCGATCATCCTCATTAGTGAGATGTCACTAAAATGATCCTTTCACATTTCACTTCTAAGTCTTTTCACCGATATTGAGAGTCCATTGTTGAAAATATATCGTGGAGATTATGAAGCAAGGCTAAAGATTCCAACAAGTCCATACATAGAGAAACCCCATTAACACCACCCTGCACATTCAGCATTTTCAAAACTTGAATTAATACATAGAAGGAACACAAAGCAAGAATTATATTAAATGACAAGGGATTGAGATTATTTAAATACTTAAAACTTTACCCTCGTCAGATGCATGAAGTGAAGCCATTTGTGGAGTCTTATTGAAATGATACTAATATAAAGTATACTCCAAATGGCTGCACACACAAAGAAGAAGAAGAAGAAGAAGAAGAAGAAGAAGAAGAAGAAGAAGAAAGAGTTGGAAAATGTAATATATCTGTCATGATAAAAAAAAAACAAACATATTGTTTAAAATAATAATAATAATAATAATAATTATTATTATTATTATTATTATTATTATTCCAATTGACGAAAAATTAGATAATCAAATCCACATGTTGCAATCACATCACCCCATTATTTAATGGTAATTTTTATTTGTAAATTTATAAAATAATAAATAATCAATTTTGCCTGGTTTATTTCCGCGGCAGCATTAAGTATTAAATTTAAAAATAATTAAATATCATTGTTAAATAAGATAAGTTTAAAAAGGAAATTATAAGAAATAAGTGAATAAATTAATTTATTTGTTATAACTTCAACACATCCCCATAAAAAATAAAAGAAATAATATGCATAATCAAAAATTTTTCATCGTAGTTAAGAGAATTAATACTTCATACTGGTGTTCAATAGTTTTTTTTGCCTTATCTTTTCATATGTATTTTGGAATTCAAGTGTGGCATGTGATTTTCATCAATAAATCTTCTAACACTTTTGAAGATTGGTAATCTGTAGCAAGATATAATAATTTATTAGATGATCTATTATATTTTTTTCATATGACATAATGGTAGAAAAGGTTAATGTTATGATGATAAAACAAAACAAATACATCAATAGGGAAAAAATTTTCTAAAATGAGAAAAAGAAAAAAGATCTTTCTGAGAAACAAATAATAAACAAAGTATATTGAGAAATTTAAAATAATTATATAGAACAAGAAATTATATAAACAATAAGAAAATATGAAAAAAAAAATATAATAGTGAAATTCAAATAATTATTACAAATTTTTCAAGAAACGAAACATTAAGGACAAGTCATCAATTTTTTTAAAAAAGATGAAGACTATGCACCAAAAAAAAAAGAAGTAAACACTATATTATAGGAAAAATATATGAACGAACTTATAGAGAAAGCTTGCAAAATTTATACAGAAATATGTAAAATAAAGATAAGTTTGTGAAAAGAAATAGTGAGAAAAGTTTTTGTTGAAAGGATAATCTAAAAATTTTCTAACAAAAAATTTAACCACATACTCTTCTGCATACCGTGATATGCTCCGGCAAAAGGGCTTTCAAGATGGTTTCTGATTTACGGCAACGAGGACTTGCATAGGATCATTATTCAAAAGTGTTTCTGATGGTATTGTCTTGACTCAAACGAGCTATGTTCATTTGTGTGGGGCAATGTGTAACTTACCCACAAATATTATAATAGATTAACGACATAAGAGTATGTGGTTAAATTTAGTACTCCCTCCATTTCAAAATACGTGTCATTCTACACTTTGCACATAGTTTAAGAAACTCTTAAATAGGGTAATAAAATTACTTGAACATACTCAACCGATCCCACTAAAAAAATGTCCACCAATAGTATTAATTCTTTTGAGGGTAATTTTGGAAACTTTGGACAAAAAGTGCATTGAAATGTGAGAACGACACTTATCTTGAAATTTCTCCATTTTGCTAAAACGACACTTATTTTGGAACGGGGGAGTAATACAATAGATTAGTCACCTAGGGATTTCTTACTGATTGTTTGTGATAAATTTACCAGAGTTCAACCACCAAAAGTTTGTGATAAAATCTAACCATGGTTAATTATGTGGGTATTTTTATCCACCAGTTATCCACAGATATTCTGTGATTAAGTTGTGGTGTTTCTTATGTAATTCTACGAAAATTTAACCACGACCCTTGGAACATTTTACAACGAATTTGTCCGTAGTTAAAATTCTCATGGAATGTTTTTCTGATGCAAAACGATTTTTGACGAAATATATTACCACGTCATAATAGTTGTGGTTAAATCTGTGGGTATTTTGGTTACCCACGTACATAAATCGATATTTCCAGCATCAGAAGCTTTAGGGTAGCCCTGATACTCCAAATTCCAATTCTTACTGATACAAATTTTCTCACTTCACTCAACCAAAAACTGCTGCATTGGTGACTCTCCATCTCCAAGAGAATTTCATGGTGTCACTTGATATCCAGTTAATCAATGCACATTTGGCTATTGCAATAGCCCTTTATCTAATATTTGGTGAAGTTGAGGGTGTCAAACCTTGGTTTGGTTGTAATCATGTATTTAATTGTCGACTCTGTTCTGATGTATTTCAATCGTTGTCGGACGATTTCCAGCGTCATAAATCTCTAATTTCAAAAAAAAAAAATTCTTGAACTCAAACCTCAATTTTATCCCTCAAATCGGTAACCGACTCATCCTGCGGGTGGGCAACCGGGTACTTGTTCAGCAAATCCTCCATCCGTTTGATACTCGCGATAACCCGGGACGAGAAACAAGCCGCCCCACCATCGACCCGAAGATCTGAATTCCACACATCAATGCCACCTCTCTGGAAGAAAACCCAATTCTTCACCGACTTCATATCCGTTCTTAAGGCACACAAGCCGGCCGTCTTCGTTGTCGGTTGCTGATGCTAAACCATCGGCGTATCCTTGATTGTAACCTTGTTTGAAGTGGTCATCTTCGACGCATACTGCGGACTGCGGAGTGGAAGATGTCTCTGATTGAGTTGGGTTCAAGGGGATTGGTGATTTCCTGAATTTTCATGATGCTATGAACGAAATAAAGATTTTGTACATTGAACTAACATTCCTTTATTTGTATAATGTTTTAAAGGACTGTTTAAGTAGTTTTATTATCATTGATTGAAACAAAAAGTTTATAATCACCAGAAAGAATATCAGCCATCTCCATTTTTTACCACATTATTTAGTAGGAAGATCAGGGTTCGCTTTGCTTTTCTTTTGTCTCTATCGAATTTTCACTAGAAAACAACAGCCCAAGGGTAAGGTAATTATGGCTTCAAGGCCATACCAACAGATCAATTGGTAAGGTAAAAGCTTAGGCTTAGAAAACAAAAATTCATCCACAAACTCGATAATGATAAATTAGGCCACGTCTAATGCCAAAGACTATAAGATCCCTAGAATCCAAATAAAACAGTGTTGAACCGACAAAAGACATAGATACAAGGGGTACAACAATCCTCTTCCTCAACTTTTAAACTACAAAATTCAAGCTCTAAGCCTGCCTGTTTCTCTTCTTAGCACCAGACTTGGCGACCTTGAGGCTCCTGTGCACAACACTCAACCTTGCAAGGGCAGCCTTCTTCAGGTCAGGCCTGTAATAGTTATCCGCAACCTACAAAACATATATACACCACAAACTGTCAGTAAAAGGGACTAGTTTCTGAAACAAATCACTCTAGTGTGGTCTTACGCATGTTTTCTACAGAATAAAACTGGATTTGGGGTCTAAAACCAGCAAACAAACATAAAGCATCTGAAACATATTTACAAAGCAGGCACTTATAAAGTTGTATTAGTAAAAAAAAACTTCAAACCCTGAAAGCACGTCAAGCAGAAGATAACAAGACAACTACTCAAGGGAAAAGCAAACTTTGGCAAATTAGAACAAAAAAATTCAAAAACCAAATGCATAACAAAAACTGCAGAAGGAGCTTACACAAGAGGCTCACTTCAGAGTAGAGTATTTAACAGCAGTCTGATCAGGTGGATAAATGGATTAAGCAACACACAACTCCAATCATCCAAAAACTGCACTAAAGTTGGCTTAATTTAAGCTCCTAAACCTTAGTTACCCAATTGGCCAAAACCATGGAAAAGGAACAGATACAAACTTGTACAGTTGAGCGCCTATAAGTACCAGTCCAAATGCAAAAGTAACACCCGTAAAATACAACATTTGACATTGTGTGCAGCTATGAATTTTGTTTCGTTACCTGGTTTTGAACAGCCTTGGCCATTCGGCTGAACTCCTTCTTCATCGCGGACCTGTTGACCAAAGATGCAGGCTTGTTCTGTTTCTTTGTCTTTGTGGTGGCAAGAACCACAGACTGATCTTCGCCAGACTGAATGGAAACAGTCTTCTTGTTTGCCAAACCTAAAAATACACATCACACAGAAAACAAATTATCACCAACATATTCATCACCCTCAATAACACCGAGCAGAAATCATGGTAATTGGTTCAGTAAAAAGAGAGGACAGATAAAGTTCTAATTTTTACCCCCAAAATTTATCAAATACAAGCCAAACAACGAGTAATCGTACATTAAGCACATAAAAGTTCCAATCATTAACGCATAAATCAGTATCTGAAAACCAAAATCTTCACTTAAAAGACATTAAACAACAAGTAAATTATCACAAAAGAACAAAAGACTAACCAGAATGCTTGTAGGAGTGCAGATTGAAAAGATTGTTAGGCTCCTTGCTGAACTTAACACTAGCGGTTCCGTTACCGAACTCCTTCACCAAAAAGGAGTTGTTCTTCTTCACGATCTCCCATATCAGCTGCCCAGGAACTGTCGCCATCTCTGAAAACACCACAAAAACACACAAATTAAAAACAACCCCAAACGGAATTCAGAACTTTATTAAAGAAATTTCAAAAAATTTCAAAAGGTAGATCAGAGGAAGTTGATTACCGATGAAGTGGAAATTAGGGTTTGGGAAATTAGGGGTTTTTTTGCTGTGACGGCTTGGCGATTTAGGAGACCAGGAACAATTGCTTTAGTAAGTTTTAGTTTATAAGGAGAAAACCGGTTGGCAATCGGGTGGGGCAGGTGGGTATTGGGTGCGAATTTATTGGGTTTTCCGGTTAATGGGCATGGACATTGACTTTCCAGTAACTTTTTAGTTTGGGATTGCCGGACAGGGTTGTGGGTTACCCAATACCCGTTGTTTGAAACGGACCCAATTGCGATTGTTTCCTATTTTTCCCTTTTTCTTTTCTCTAGGGCTGCTAATTCGATTGGTTCGATCGCTTCGGCCGTTAATCAATTCGGATTAATCGGATTTTTTCCACTTCCGAACCCGACTGAAACTGAACCGAAGTTTAATAATCTCCGAACCGAACAGAGCCGAATAAGCAATCAGTTTTTCGGTTCGGGAATCGGTTAACCCGAAATAGGCCAAATAGGCCATATTTTATTTTTACAAGATTTTCAGTTAGAGAAATTCAATTCACCGTACAATAATAAAATGCAAATCAATGTAACAACAAAATAGACTAATTGACCCTAATGCCAATTGTCATCTCATTTCAAAGTTCATTTCGACATTTCGAGTTTCGACTCAAAGTTTCAAAATCAACACTGTTTTTACAGAATGCAGCAGGAAGAAGCAGTAGCTGCAGTACATGGTTTTTACAGAATCATCAACAACAATACAACCTTTTGTTCATGGTTTTACAGAATCATCAACATAACATGTAAATACCATAAATGATCAACATTCAACACTTCAACAGACTACAGTAAGTCATTAACTAGTTACAGAAAAAGAATTGTTCAGTCTTCAACGTTTCAACGCTTCAATTGGCAGCATTGCAGGCTTGCAGCAGGCATTAGGCAATCAACATTCAACAATCTGGAATTTTACGTAACAACATTCAGCAACAGGAATCAACATTCAGCAACAGGAAACTCAGAAATACCTGAACTCATGCAACAGGCAACAACCATCTAAATTTTACCTATCATTGAAGCGTCTCAATAGTTTAATCACGACAAATGCACAGTCTCTAATTCACCAGCATTCATTTCCTTCTCAGCAGCTGAAAAGAGGAAACAAACACAAACAGTCAATATTCAATCAAATGAAAACAAATAGTTAAAAAATCAAATGAAAACACAAACTGTAACAGTGTAACCTTTTTCAATCTGTAAGAGTTCTTCCCAGCTTTCTTTGACACTTTCTTCTTCAACTTCTCCCCGAAGTCAATCTTGAGCGCAAATTAAGCACTAAATAGTCTTTGGAGTCAAAGAACTCCGGAATGGATCCAATACCCTCCCACTTGTACTAAAACAAGATTCGGAAGCCACAGTTGAGACATGAATGGCAAAAATATCCCGAACCATCAGTGAAAGAATGGGAAACCTAGGGCTGTTAAACACACTACCACTTCAGCAGATCGAAAGTTGGACTACCTGGTTCATCATCCTCCCTGAAATACTTGTCTAATTCTGATCTTTTATCAGACTGGGATTCGCCACCAGCTTCTTCATTTTTCTACTACGCCAACACCCTAAATCTGTCTCTAAGCATTTGCGAAGGCTCGATATCAACAGGGGAAGGCCTTTTCGAGGATGAAGTACTAGAATCAGGTTGGGAGGAAGGCGAACTAACAGTAGGTTTAGGGGCATGGATTCTCATATAATCTGCAAACAACTCATATATGGTGCTTTTAATAGTTTCATATCTACCCTTCCCATCCACTTGTCCATAAACATCAACAAGTACAACATCCAAATACCTCAACTTATTTCTAGGATCAAAATCACATGCCATTAAAAGAACTAGATTCATATTCTTAACTTGCCCATAGTATTAATCAAACTTTGCCTTCATCATATCAGCCATTATTTTTTGATCCTGATCATCACTTTCATTGATGATTTTCCTCAACAATACATCAATACAAGTAATATCAACAAAAAAAGAATGTGAGGAGACATATTTGGTATATCTCGTAAAATGATGAAGAATCCCAGCTACCCTCTTAGCTTCTACCCAATCCACTGCAGTAGGCAGTCCAGGACCCGAATTTGGCACATCAGGATCATATTTTAAAGCATCTTTATAGTGTTTATTAATCTCCAAAAGGCTTTTTCATACTTTTAAGCAATTTCCAACATAATATATGTGGAATTCCATCTAGTACAAACATCTAATACTAGATTCTTGGAACTACCACACTTCTCAATTTCAGCACATTTTTTAAAGCTTGCTATTCTTTTAGGAGACTGCTGAATATACTTAACAACAACCCTAATCCTTTCAACAGACTTATCTATATATGTCAAACCATCCTTAACAACTAGATTAATCACATGAGCCACACAACGATTATGCAACCATTTTGCACCCAACACACACTTCTCTCGGACAGAAAACTGCTCTTTAAGATACTCCAAAGCAGCATCATTAGAACTAGTATTATCAACAGTTATAGAAAAGACATTTTTATTTTCAGCCCCCCACTCCATCAAACATTTTTCAATTTCAGTCCCGATATCAACCCCCTTATGACTTGTAATGGGAACAAAACTTCAAAATTTTTTTTCTCAAAACCCATTTATTATCCACATAATGCCCAGTCAGACACATATAATTAATCTGCTGCACAGAAGTCCAAGTATCTGTCGTCAAGCAGATTCTACTACCCAGACCCTTAAGCTTAAGTTTCAATTTTGCTTTTTCAGATAAATACAGCTTATAGCGGTCATTAGCTATAGTCTGTCTACCCTTAGGAGTAAACAATGGCTGTAACTTCCTAACAAAATACCTAAACCCATGTTTATCAACAAACCTAAAAGGCAATTCATCAACTATTATCATACTAATTATTGCCCTAATGATTTCTGCTTCATCATACTTCCAAGTACCTATATTCCCCTGTTTTCCCTCCTCAGACTCAACAACCAGCTTAGACTGATCAGGATCATGCTTCTGAGCTAAGTACGTCTTACAAGTACTCAAATGGCTATGAAGAATACTTGTGTCATGTTTCTTAGGATCAACCATATAAGAATTCTTACAATAACTACAAGTAACCCATATTTCACCATTAGGCAGCGTAAATTTTGAGAAATGAGACCACACCACTGACCTATTACGAGTTACCCTGCGCTGCTTAGGAGATTTTTGGACTTTCGCTCGACGGCCTTAACCTTTCGGCTTTTCGTTTTGGTCCTTTGTGTCAATCTGGACATCTACTATAAATGAATCATCAGTAAGCAAATCCAGCATAGGAGGCATTGAGCTATCCTTCACTTCAATCTCCTCAAGCTCATCTTCATCAAAACCAGACATCTAAACAAAAAATAAAAATATTTTAGTTACAGTTCATAGCAGCAACAAGCAACAAATTTATACAGTCACAAGTTAAAACTAGAATCATTTAATCACAGTTGAGTAGTTGACAGAAAACAATGAAACATGTTACAAGACAAAAACAACTCTCATAAGCTGCAAATTATGTAACTAGTACAGTGGTTCACATATTCATATCACAACTACAACTACAAGAGACCACATCTTTGCTAACCTAAGTACCTAACTGATCACTTCATTTCAAATCATTTGATGCAACAGAACAAGTGGTGCATTCTAGACTCACAATTAGTAAATTCAACGAAGATATAAAAACAGGTTAAAAATATCTCACCTTAAAGATAGTAACAATCTCAAACTTCAACACTCAGTCCTGCATTTAAATAGTGCAAAAATAGTTAACTCTCAGTCCTGCATTCTCATAAAATAGTATGATTACAATGACACACAATACAGTTCACTATCTTCATTGGTTTCTTCTTTTTCATCATTTCAAAGTTAAAACAAAAGGCCAAAGTATCATGATCTGGAGCATATAATATAAGCAGCCGAGGCACTAAGTTGAATCAATGTAAGACATGATTTCATATAACATCTAACATTTCAGAAAGACAGAAACTATAACATACAATATCTCAGTCAAGATTGAACTTTTATCTAGAAGCATAGAGCTAAGAACTCTCCACCAACCTTAAAAAGGAAAGAACTAAACTTGAAAAGATCAAACACAACGACTTACAGATCCAAGTACTAATTTGTGATAAAAGAACCTAAACTAGACTTCCAAATCCACCAAACGGAGCATGATTAAACAGAAATGCTCAGCAAGACAAAAACGACTTACATTTCAATCAAATCGAAAACTGCTCAGCAAGAATCAGTACAAAACCCAATAATAAAGGAGGATAATTTACCCAAATAGCTCCAGCTGAGACGAAGAAAATGCAGATTCCCACAAAACCCAACTTGAATATGAATCCTAGTCCTGCATATCAAAAGACAAAAAATAAAAAAAATAAAAATCAGTAAGTAATGCTATATTGCTATCAATAATGATTTCGTAAAGAAACAAAGAAACAAAACAAAGTAGTGAGCATACCGCTTACCTAGGAAAAATCCTGGTCCTGCAACCTCCGACAAGGCGACAACCTCCGTCAAGTTCTGAATCAAATGGATTTAGGAAAACTGAGCTTTGAACCGTCAGTTTTCATATCGAATCGAATGGATTCCAAAAATCAATTTGAATCCAAAATCCTAGATTTGGAACGATTGGTGTTGGTGGTAGATAACTGGAACTCTAAAAGGAAATGGGAGGTGGTGAAGTGGTGTGTATGGTTGTGGTGGTGGGTTTGTGACCGGAACGACGATGGCATTTGCAGAAGAAGAAGCGGCGGCCGGCAGAAGAAACAAGGTGAGAGAATTCCAGGGAACAAACGAAAGAGGGGGAAAAAATGAAGAAACCCTAAATCAGCATATATATGACATACAAAAAATAATAAAATAATAAAAAATTAATTAAATTATATAATTATTTGGGTATTCGGACGGTTCCCGAATAACACCCTAAATAACCGAAACCGAACCGATATTGTGCCTCGGGTAGTCGGGTGTGACCGAAAATTCCCAAAATCGACCGATTAGCCGAAGCGAATCACCCGAATAAGCTCGGGTCAGTCGGGTATTCGGGTAGACCGATTAATTATTAACCCTACTTTTCTCCCATAAATTCATTATATAATTTCTTTTTTGTTATAAAATTAATTCTAGACTACTAATATGAAACTAAGCATAATAACAAAGAT